AGGATCCGTAAAGGGGGCAATGTTAAGGCTTGCCGGATTAATACTGGTCCCATTAAAATACATTGTAACATTTGTGAAAGTGTATTTACTTTCGTTTACAATTGTTATCAAAATCTCTCTTTTGGGTATTCTAAATTTAGTAGCGAGAGTAACGACTCCCCTTACTGCAATTAATTCATACATAGAAGAATCGCGAAATAAAATGAGAAATACCTATAGTTTGCTTATTTTACTATAGTGTTTAATTAAATTTGAAAGAATTGAGGAAGGAAATCGGCATTTATATAGTGGTTATGCATTTGAAGGTAAATATGATTATGCGAATTCTATAAGCTGATTACCATGTTAACCTTTGGTTAACCGATTTATGGTTAACCATGGTTAACAACATTTGAACAGAAGAAAGCGAACAAATTGTACTTTAGGTCACATATTTAAAATTTTCGAGAATGAAAATTGTTACACATTTGTTTAATAGGGTTTAAAAAATTAACCTTTAAATGCGTTTCATTACATTTCTACGTTGATTTTATCAGCGTTGATTTTATCATCGCATTTTGTATTACCATAATGAAATTTTTGTGTTGCAGAAATCACTGATAATAAATAGTTATTGGGCAGATGCAAAGTTTAAACTATTATAAAAACTATTTTAAACTTCCAATAATAAAATTATTTGGCAGATAAATCATAGTAAGCTGCCGGATAATTGGCCTTTTCCCAATAATCACAAATTAAATTATCTTTAGGGGACGTAATAGAGGGTCGCATTATTTTGAAACAGTGATAATAGATAATAAAATAACTTTTTTTAAAAAAAATTTATTGGTAATTAAGACGTTAGTAAATTGGAAACATGCAATTTTCATTAGTAAAATTCGAGTTTCTAAGTAATATTTACTTCAGTATGTATAAGAAATTTTTATTAGAGGTAAACAGCTATAGAACAAATTTAAAATTTGAGGACACCAACAACTGTCGGAAATTTATTATTAAATTTCAATAAAATACATAAAATACACGTAATTGATTCAAATTTCATTTTCTATGCTTTTTGATACCGATAAAAAGCTTCTTTTAAGTCTTTCTCTCTACTTAAATTATACTTATAAAAAAAGCCAAGTTGATCTTGTGCATCAATATATCCTTGTTTAGCTGATTTTTTATACCATTTAAATGCTTTAACTTCATCTTTTTCAATACCAATCCCAACTTCATAACACATACCTAAATTATATTGTGCGTATTTATCACCATTTTTTGCTGCTATTTCATACCAGTGAAAAGCTTTTTTTAAATCCTTTTCTGTACCTATACCATTTTTATAAAAGGAGCCAAGCTGAGTTTGTGCTTTACTATATTTTTGTATAGCTGATTTTTTATACCATTCAAATGCTTCAACCTTATTCTCTTTAACACCAACCCCATCTTCATAACACGCTCCCAAATTATACTGTGCATATTCATTTTCACTTTTCGCTGCTTTTTGATACCAACAAAAAGCTTCTTTTAAATCTTTTTCTATACCTATACCATTTTCATATAAATAACCAATTTTATTTTGTGCATTACTATATTCTTGTTCTGCTAATTTTTTATACAATTGAAATGCTTTAACTTCATTCTTTTTAACACCAACGCCATTTTCATAACATATAGCTAAATTATATTGTGCATCTTTATATTCATTATTTTTTGCTGCTTTTTCGTACCATTTAAAGGATTGCTCTAAATCTTTTTCTGTACCAATACCATTCTTATAACAAGCTCCTAAACTATCTTGTGCATCAATATATCCTTGTTCTGCCAATTTTTTATACCATTCAAGTGCTTTGCTTTCATCTTTTTCAATACCATCTCCATTTATGTAACATATTCCCAAATTATATTGTGCTTCTTTACATCCATTTTTTGCTGCTTTTTCATACCAATGAAAGGCTGCTTTTAAATCTTTTTCTGTGCCAACACCATTTTTATAAAAAACATCCGCGTGCACAATGTAATTATTGTCATAAAGAATTTGAACGAGCCATCCCTAAACGAATGCAAAGACATCTTGATAAGTGTTCAGATGCACCAGATAATGCAAAATCACCAGAAACTAGATGTAACTTTGGAAGCTATAGAAATGAAGAAGGTCAAAAATCTTTTAAGCCTTTACTAGATAAAGCATTAACATTGGTTGAAATGCTCTCTTCTTATCCATCTGCTGTTCAATGGTATCAAAAGAGTGCAGAAAATAGTAATGCTATTGCGCAATATTTTTTAGGTAGATGTTATGAATATGGAGATGGTTTTGAAAAAGATGAATATAAAGCATTTGATTGGTATAGAACATCAGCTGAACTAGAATATAGTAAAGCACAATGTAGACTTGGATTTTTTTATAAAAATGGTGT